GTTGCGGCGGCACAATCAATCTTGAATAGCCTCACTAGAGTGGTCCCATTATTTGGTATGCATTTCGCACCTTCGAAGTGCGAAGTGTTGCTGCAGGACCACTGGCCACTTGATGATCCCTTGACCCTTGGTAACTAGGACCTCAGGGTAGTTGATCAATTCACCTACATTGGCAGCTGCATTAGTAACGATGGGCGCATAGCAACTGAAGTCAGTCCACGTGGTGCAAATGTCAGAACTGCCTTTTTGCATCTGCGGCATCTTTGGTGACAAAACGGAATTTCCCTCCGTCTGAAAAGTCGTGTGTACAAGGCCACAGTGAGGGCCATTCTGCTCTATGGTAGTGAGACTTGGCCGCTTCGGTCTGAAGATCTGAGGCGCCTTCAAGTCTTTGAACATCGCTGTCTGCGGAGCATTGCTGGTGTCGGATGGCACCAGCGTGTCCGCAACGATGATGTGCGTATCCGAGTGCTAGGCAATGATACCCAAGCTAGTTCCTTAGAACAACAGATAGCACTGAATAAGTTGCGTTGGCTTGGACATGTACAACATATACCCGGTCACCGCTTACCGAGGAGGGTCTTGTTTAGACTGCCATATGTAAAGTGGCACAAGGTTCGAGGTTGACAGAAGTTTAACTTTCGCAATCTAAGACAGATAGGTCAACAGGCTGCACTTGCACGCGCGTTAGATACACTGGATATTGACGTGTGTTGCGTATCCGAAACCAGGAGCAATTACCACCACGGGCTCGTTCAAATAACTGCGCCCGTCTTGTCATCTCGCTGTTGATTGCACGCATACGAAGACATCTATGCACCAGACTCTGGTCAACCTGGGATAGGTATCGTGCTCAGCCTCAAGGCTGAGTCATTTTTGGTTGATTGGATTCCGATGAACGGCCGTTTGTGTGCAGCCCGTTTGATGACATCAACCAAGGTTGATTCACGAAGTAGTACAAAACGTTGTTTGTTTGTGGTTTCCGCTTATGTTTCCACCGACTGCAGTTCTGATGCTGCGAAGGACACATTCTACCATGAACTGAACACTCTACCACGAAGTGCTATCAGTTCCGATATCATAATACTTGCGGGGGATAGGAATGTACAATTAGGTCGTCTGGGCACTTCAAAAGCGCAGCTATGTGGTAACTATGGGCTAAACTCCGACCGTACGGACAACGACGAGTGTCTTTTGCAATCGTGTGAAGAGCGCCAGTTGTTTCTTAGTAGCAATGCTTTCAGACAGTGGGCGCCGAAGTGCTGCTTGGCGTCTTCCTGTAGATGGCTAGCGATGGACCCGATTGCCATAAGTTACAGTGGCGTGGTTTTATTTAGGATTGGCGCTCGTTCTGGTGCACTTGCGTCGATTCTGATCATGCTTTGGTACGCTGTTGCTTTTTCATGAACTTTACCGGGAGACGCACCAAGCCTTTCCTCCGATTGGTGTTGTGTTTCCGCTGACAATACGGATAACCGACGCAGCCACTCTGGTCACAATACAGTCACTTTCCAAATCAGAAGACAAGGCCCCTGGCGGAACTCGTATGGAGCACTCAGAAGACAGAATGTACAGCCAAAATATTGGGTCGAAATAAATAGTTCATGAGAGAAAAGACAGCTGAAATTCCTTGACTATAGCAACTACTAGATGCTCGGTTGTTGGCTGAGCAAGTAGTGTGCTTACGGGAGGACTACAAGGTAGGTCATTCTGATTGATCCACCTCAAGCCAAAACGATGCTATTGGCTTACTCCCATTGGTTAGCCAATCAGCTACAGACGGCACGCAACCAATCTTCTCCGGGCTACTCCATACATAGAGAGGGAGAGAGTTTCGATGGCTGCCATGGACGGGCTCCGGTAACAGTTGGCAGCTGAGAAATCAACCCAGCCCTCGGTCAGGCATGCCTACCAAGCTACACTGTGTACCGAACTCTCCCTTGCTTGTCCTAATGACACTGAGCTTCAGTCGAATAGTATCCCGGTCTCCATGCATGACGCAGGAGCATTTGCTTGTGCTACTATCAACCGTCACCGCACTAGTCACTGGTTATCCGAGAGGTCGATGGACCCGTTGGAATCCAGAAGTAACCTCCCGGCTGGCTCTGAGCACAATGTGACTATTAGACGCGAACTAAAGCGGAGCCTGCGTTTTGACAAGGAAGCCTAGTGGACCAATCAGGCTCGAGAAATGGAGGAGGCTGTAGCAGTAGGCAATTGTCGCAAGCTGTTTTAGCTGATCCGCACCACTGGTCCCATGAAACTAGGCGTCAGTGAGACAATCGGAGACGGCACGGGTGCGCAGATACACAATAAGAAGCGCCGTATGGCTCGTTGAGCGGAACACTTTCAAGAGCAGTTCAGTTGGGCCGCTGCTTCAGAACCTCTTCCTACTCTGGTGATGCATGATGAGCCTCCGTCGAAGATTGTGGTCCGAAACGCGATCACAGTCCTCACTCGTTTTCATGCGGCTGGCCCGGATTCCCCGCTACCCGCACTTTTTAAGGATGGTGGTGAGGTCCTCTGCAAAGCACTGACCTTCCTGTTCGAACATGTATGGAAGGAGAAAACCGTCCCAGCTAACTGGGGCAAATCGATCATAATGATAATCTACAAGAAGGACTGTCACGCCAACTGTGCTAACCACAAGGGTATTAGCCTCACACCCGTAGTGACAAAACTATTAGCCTCGATTATCGTTCGTCGCCTCACTGCGGAACGGGAATCTCGGACTAGGGAAGAGCAGGCACCTTTCTGCCGAGGACGTGGCTGTATAGACCGCATATTCACTTTGCGGCAGCTGCCACGCATACCTCAGTCCGACAATAACCGTGTTCCTCGATTTCAAATATACGTTCGATTAGGCCGATCGATGCACTCAGTTCGAAATATTTGCGCGTAAGCTGTTCCCACGAAATATGTGAACGTTGTACGTTTACTATACTCGAGCACTACAGGCCGCGTCAGGATCTACGGTGGCCTGTCGGATAGCTTTCCAACAACAAGTGGCGTTCGTCTGAGTTGTTCAATTTTGTCGTGGATTCCATCATGGCGTGTTCCCTTACGGATTCTCACAATGCAGGTCGTGAGGTCTTGCCTGGTGAAAGGCTAGTTGATTCTGATTATGCGGACGATATCGTTTGGCTTTTCAACGACGTTGCGGCGGCACAATCAATCTTGAATAGCCTCACTAGAGTGGTCCCATTATTTGGTATGCATTTCGCACCTTCGAAGTGCGATGTGTTGCTGCAGGACCACTGGCCACTTGATGATCCCTTGACCCTTGGTAACTAGGACCTCAGGGTAGTTGATCAATTCACCTACATTGGCAGCTGCATTAGTAACGATGGGCGCATAGCAACTGAAGTCAGTCCACGTGGTGCAAATGTCAGAACTGCCTTTTTGCATCTGCGGCATCTTTGGGGACAAAACGGAATTTCCCTCCGTCTGAAAAGTCGTGTGTACAAGGCCACAGTGAGGGCCATTCTGCTCTATGGTAGTGAGACTTGGCCGCTTCGGTCTGAAGATCTGAGGCGCCTTCAAGTCTTTGAACATCGCTGTCTGCGGAGCATTGCTGGTGTCGGATGGCACCAGCGCGTCCGCAACGATGATATGCGTAACCGAGTCCTAGGCAATGATACCCAAGCTAGTTCCTTAGAACAACATATAGCACTGAACAAGTCGCGTTGGCTTGGGCATATACTACAAATGCCTGGTCACCGCTTACCGAGGAGGTCTTGTTTAGACTGCCATATATGGGGTGTCGCAAGGCCCGAGGTGGATAAAAGTGGAATTGGCAGTGGCAAATGAAGTCACTCAAGACCAAACTTAGTGCCGTCGGTCGTCTCACCTTCGAGGCTGCAGTCCACGCGATTCGCCTTGTGCTTGGCTCGGGGCTTTACAGGATATAGCTCGCAGTCGACACCAGTGGTTCGTCTTCTGGTGTCTTCTAATCTGACTGTCTGTTTAATGTGTGCTTGGGGCTGCGTTATTAGCACGGTAATGGTTAGTTATGACGCGGGGCAGTAAAAGCCGCAAGGAAGTTGTCTCGCCGATGTCACCTTATTTTTACACGATAGTCAGATGTTTGTGACTGTATGTTGTTAACACCGAGTGTATGCGCCTTGATCCTGAATGTTTGCATAGGGTATTAAGGTTTTCAGTTAGGTCCCCCTTCTCACCCTCTTATTATTCTTTATTTCGTAGGTCATTGTGATTGTATGGTAGCGAAGCCGTAGCTCAAATGGTTGATGTGCTGCTGTTGATAATGATGATCATCATCAACAACTTAATTCTTTAGCGATTGTTACCGTTGCAAACCCGATTAGTATCTACGCTTCGCGGATTGCGAGCACACGTGATGTAACACCGTTCGTATTTTTCGTATTCGCTTACCAATGACTAGCAGTTGCCAGTCTCTATTACCTGCTCTATTGAGTCGTCGCATATGTGACTGTTCTGGCACATAGATCCCAAGCTGCGCACGATGTAAGGATTCCCGGGCCACCTGCATCAAGTTCATGTTCGGTGCAAGTTTTTCTTCACCTTTCTCCCTCCGTTTATTTTCGCACTTCCTACCATGGTGTCAACCTTCCCAAGCGCTGGAAGCCCAGTACTTCATGCCGTCCACAATGAGTGGATGGTGCGCATTGTTCAACTAATAATTTGAAACTTTTTGGCTGTTTCTCGCAACCAAAACTCTTTGCTAACTGCGTGCTGGTAGCCCAGATCACCTACCCATCTCGCATTGTAAATTTCTAAACGTACGACACACATGTGCCTGTCTCATATACCATATCAGCGTGAGCGACGGAGTGGAACGCGTTGGACCTTAACTCACCGTCATGTCAACTCTTTTCAGCATGGTGTCGGAAACTGCTTTGAGGGTTAATTACCAGATTAACTTGGGTAGTTCAGTTAGTTGACAGATGCTGGTAGAGTTGAGTATGCGCAAATGATCTACACTCGCAACCAATTTAAACACATTTTGATCTTCTGTCTTACTTCAGAACATATCTTCTTACCTCACATGCGGATTTGATGGCTTCGCACACAGTGACGGCGTTCGGTTCACACGCAACTATATGGCATACGTAGTTTCCTCTGGCTCCTTGTTGGATGAATCCACAGATTCTGTTGGTTAAAGGACAAAACATCTGTTAGCTAATTTCGCTGATCCTATTTTTGACTATTCATGAACCAAATAGATCTTATTTTTATTCGATGTTTTAAAGCGCATAAGCTGCATTTTGGTACAATACTTCCCATATAATTACATACATCACCAGAGCCTTACTAACTATATACTGAATTTACCTTCCGCTCCCCAGTTCAATAGATACGGGTTACGCTGTGAGACTCGAGTTAGCCAATGAGGGCGCAGTATCAGAAATTGCCGGTCAAACCTCTTGAGCAAGGAAACAGTATATATGAGAAAGACAGATGATGAAAAGGGATGTCACAGCGTCCCAGAACAGGGATCAATTATGGTGTCCCGTAAGTTCCCGGATTTCTAAAAGCACTGTGTGTGTGGGAAACTGCGTGTATCTATGTTCAGTCGCGTTCGGCGGTACCCACTGGATTCCAGCCATTTGTTTCGGTTTGCTTGACATCTCTGAACTACAATGAAACCTCTGTAACCTGACCACCCAAGGAACTCGGCCAAAATTGTCAAGATAGGGGTGTGCTCAACCTCCGGAGGTCCTATGCAAAATTTAGTGTATCTTGCGTTCCCGTCGTGAATAGTACGACACAACTATTTTTACTCATTCTGTTTCGTATGTAATAGATAAGCTCTTGCGTGATGACAAGCACATTTAAATCATACAGCATTACAATAAGTCAAAACACAGTGGCTTCTTCAAAGTTAAATCGCTTTTTAGGAAGAAGTTAATCTTTGTCTGCCTCTTTCTGTTATCCTAAAGCGCTCTTATCACAGGCTCTGCTATTCGGCCTACGTAAACATTTTGCCACGAAATGACTACAGGTGCATTAATAGAGGTCTGATATTGGCCCCGTTTGGAGTTTCTGTGGTCTCCATGGCAACTTTACTAAATTCTTCTTCGTAAGGCGTTTCTTGCTTGCTTCCGTATGTATGTACTGCAGTCAGTATCCCTTGGCAAATAGCGCCTCTCTTTGCTTCAAGTTACCAAGCCATCATACGTCGCAATAAACTCTTGAAATCTGTTCCTTCCAATTCTGCCATGGTATATGAAATGTCTAGTAAAGCATCCACGAGAGTTTGAAAGAATCCAGCCTTTTTGAAACACTTCTGTATTGTTTATGTTTGAATTTTGTGCCAAGCAGAACTTTTCTATAGCACGACATTCGAGAAAGCAGATGAACTTCTTAGCGCATGCAGACCATTGGTATTCATTTTTGTTATAGCCCGTTCCAAGAGCTATGCTCGGTAACCAGTGTTGATTATTTTGTTGATTCCTTAGACACACTGTACGAGGCAAACACCCATGCACGTAAACATAGGAGCGAGACAAAAGCGCACAGACAAAGAACATATGGTGTCGTCAAACGTCTGCAGTCGTAAAGTGCAATAGTTGCAAAAGCCCGCTACCCACATTATTGTTTGAACAAAAGGATCGTTCAGCAACCATTGCACAGTAAAAATTCACGTGATGTCCAATCAATAATAACGGATATGCCTCAAGTAATCAACAATCAACTTACAGAGATGGTCAATAAACAGTCTGGTTTTATGGTAAACATTCAAGCTATGCAAAAGCGGTCATTTTCGGTGGTCAGGATATAAAGGTACTCAATTTTGGAGATTTTATTGTACGATGGACTTGAGGATGTAGGGCAGGTCTGCTTATTTCGGTGATGGTTGCTTCCGCTTTTGTTGCTCATGCATCCAACTCAGATCGTGAAGCCTACAATCTAATTTTCAGTTCAGCGCCTGATGCCCTTCGCTTTCCTCAAATGTGTTTAAGTTTATATTCCAAGCTAGATGGGCTTCTTATGTAGACTCATACTTTTGGCTGCTGGTTGAGGTTGATTAGCCTCGTATACCCAGACGAACTCCTCAGTCCGGCCCTTGGTTATGACGTCTCACAGACTCTTTCGGATGTGTCTATTTTACTAATGGACAAGCGCGATTCAGTGATCAGGTATCCTGACAGTTTGATTGTTTGTGAATAGCCTAAACCTTGCTACTCGTTTTCCGTTGGATGCATTTCTTAGAACTGAGTTATATTTTCCCACTTCAGCGAGTGAAGAACCAGTGCAGTCCAACGGCGTCTATATATATATATATATATATATATATATATATATATATATATATATATATATATATATATATATATATATATATATATATATATATATATATATATATATATATATATATATATATATATATATATATATATATATATATATATATAGTTGGCCTTATCCGGTTTCGGATTAGCCTGTCACTGTGGCCAGCCACATGATATCTGCGCTTGATCAAATTCTGGGCATGCCATTCTAGTGAATACAACGTCACGCTTTATTCGATCATAAGGACGGCACTGGAAGAGGTCGCGCGGTAGTCTACCATTCCAAATGCGATAAAACTTCAAGGTGCTGACTTGCAATCTACAAGTTGTCGGTCCTGTACATTTGCCTGGATGAGTAGCCAAGGATGAAACCCACACCTGACTGGAAACTCTTGAAGACATGGTGTGCAATAGTGCTGACTGGAAAATCAGTGTGAAATTTTACCCTGTCTATATAGAAGTACACGACGTGGAAAGAGTACAAAGATGTGGCCTCATTATCTAACAGTTTTCCTCATTGTGACTTCGGTGACTACTACGTATGCAAATTCCGTGATTTTTGCTGACCCTAGATTTAGGGTGGGTTTGATCCTTGGCAATCCATCCAGGTAAACGCACAGGACCGACAACTACTAGATTGCAAGTCAGCACCCTGATGTTTTACCGCATTTGAATTGGTAGACTACCACGCGACCTCTTTCAGTGCCGTCCTTATGATCCAATAAAGAGTGGCGTGGTATTCACTTGAATGGCGTGCACAGAATGTGATCGTCATTTTAATTCTCACAGCAACATTAGCATGTTGCGAAGAACGCCCAAGTCGTCAAATGCAGAAATCCAATGCTTAACGTTCACGCAAATCGTCCGGAAGTCGCTTGCGTACAAGTCAAGTCAGCAAATTGCGTTATTTACCCTTGTTGGGCGAATATTCAGCTACAACACACACGATCTCAGCAATGTACCCAAATATTGATCAATTCCAAAACATCACATTAAAACGGTTTGATAAACAATTGACAGGAAGGCCATCATACTGTAAATCGGCTGGTTAGGTATAGAATGACAGAGTTGGGGTCTCGCAGAAAACGCGAGAGATAAAGGTTGATCAACAAGCAAAATCTATTGGGCGAGTATATATCAACTTGTACTTCTGCCTAGTAAACGAAATTGCCAGACATCCAGATAAAGCGTTATGAAGGGCATAACTTGTATCGGTCAGTGTCCTAGACGATAGTTTCTTACCAGAATTGGTGTGTGGGCAGATGTGCATTGACAAAAGTAATCATCGGAACGCAGCTACATCAGGATAAGTGCCTTAATGACCTGACAATTAACTGGATTGCTTACCCGGAAGACGGAGAAAAATCACATGGAAGCAGTATGTCCAGCGGGGAAGAACACAGCCACTGACAAAGCGAAGGATTAACTCCCGAAGGACAGAGGATATTCTTAGATGAGAGGCGTAAAATTCCTGCTTTCGGGCTTTTGTGAAAGTTTCTTTTAGATGAAAAGTTCAAGATAAATCCTAGTTTAGTACCACACCTGAATACTCCACTGCTGTAGCAGAGTGTAATCCATCGCCGTCATTAAACAGTTTGGGGCACTGTGTAAGGAGCTGCTCCTACCTGGCTCCTTTTCGTAACAAAAGCAGTATGTCATGACATTTTGATGGATTAAGAGACAGATGACAAGATCTGGACCAAAGATTGTGCTCGCTCAGATGTTCTTGCAACCTGTGTGATGAATTGGTGGTTCGATTATTGACATCCAGGTCAATGTCGTCAGCATATTTTAGTAGAATCATCTTATGATGTTGCCGTTTGTCCTGCATTCGCTGTACTTGCATTGATGTCTATACATATTGCTTTTTAGCTCACACTCTGATTCTCAGATGAGTAAAGCCTCACGAATCTGGCCTTCATCTTCTTCTCTATCTGCACTGATACGCTTGTTTGCTACTCAGTTGTATCAATTTACTCATCTAAAGGTCTATCATGGAACGTATCCTTCGGCCTGAGAGCTGCGATAGGTGATCGGGACAGTACCTATAGAAACATTGGATCTATGTTTCCGGAATTTTTTTGTCCACAATCGAAGCACACGGCCAGACAAACTTAAAACTCTCCCCCATTATATTTCTGCTGCTAACTTTAAACCGACCGCTGATTGCACGTCTTACAATGCAGCCATATCTACTTTCTCCTTTCTTTACTTTCGCCGGTGAATGAGATACGCGCACGGCACCACTTGGGTACCGCGAAACAAGATTCTGGACTCTCACTAGATCCGCTTTTGCAGAAGCTAAAAATACTTGCCAGTTAATGCCGAACCTCATCGGGACGAGACCATTCGCGATGTCTTCATCAGTGGAATGACATAAAGTGAAACACTACAGAGGCTGTTGGCATACTGATCACTTGATTGTGAGACTGCGTTTGACAAAGCCAGATCCTTGAAACTGGCACATGTACAGTCCTTTGAATACTCAAAGCCAGATTCACTTTCGTGCTGTGTAGGTCCCAAGGCGCACACCACTGACCCCTACTTGTCCACAAAACCATCTTCTGATGAGACTTTAACCGCTGCTGTCAACCCATCCTGTTACTTTTTCGGTTCTAAAGGACATGTAAAGGACCTCCAGGACGCAACAAGCAAATATTTTAATAGGTATGTTGATCCTTTTTTCAAACTAAACTTTATGTACCCAGGTGGGTACATTTTCAGCACTTTACCATATCAACTACGGATTAGCTGAAATTACATTATCAGAACCTTAAATTTGTATGAATGGAAAAAGCACACTGTGTACAGGTGTCAGTCGAATAAGCGGTCGGTACAAAGGAACAAACATAT